CACCCTCTATATCTTCTATTAACGAGAGACATAAGACAGGCTTAATGTAAAACCGTATCCATTCTATGCTGAAACAAATAAGACTAATCTATTTTTAAGTTGTACATTTAAGGTCTAAAGGTGTACTAGAATAGAGATGAATGTTGCAATTTATCTGTTCCTTCGTTGAAACTTTCGGATCAATTTCAGGGTACAGGAAATAGAAATAACTCTAAGACCGGTATCCTGATTGTATATCGTGGAATGGGTATCACATGGAAACTCAATCCTACGGATTGCGTCGCGGCACCAGCGAAGCATCAACGCTACCTCACATTCTGCATCGCATAGCGAAATAAATAATCCTATCGACTTGCAGCGTGTCAATAACTTGCTACCTCTCGGATGAATTTTCTCGCAAACGTTTCTCCACCCGAGCCCTAAAGAAAAATAGTACTTAATCGGATCAATTACTACCCACGCTTGCACACGACTTTCGTGTATTGATTTTTATTGCAAAGCTGGCGTGCCTAAAGTTGCATGAGATTATCGCTCTAAATAATAGCTGCTGAATACTATATGTACAAATTATAAAGTCAATCGAATCTTCATGTTGACAACTTTTAAATTTGAAGTTCAAAATTCTGGTTGGTTACTTTGTTGCAGACGCCATGGAGACAAAAAAATTAACAAAATTCATTATTCATTTAAAAATATTTGATGATATTTGATAACATATATGAAACTACAAATATTAAATATTGAATTTCATAATCAATTATGTTCAATATTATGACATATATATTTAATATTTGTAGTTTAACATGTTATTAAATATCATCAAATATTTTTAAATAAATATTGAATTTTGTTAACTTTTTTGACTACATGGCGTCTGCAACAAAATAACTAATCAGAACTTTTAATTGTAACATAAATATACACTTTCTTCTCAATTTGACTCGATAAAAAATATTAATTATAATATATATTATTATATTATTAATACATATTATATATATAGTATATATTATAATTCGATAAAAAAGAAATTTTGTTCATCAAAATAAACTTCATTCGCTGTCTAATTGTAGCTTTATGATTTTGTCTTCGCCAGTCATTAATATCTGGTTACCGCATCAAACTGTACAGAATTTAACGTGTCCTTTCTATGTACATCTGCTTTACAGTAACTAAATACGAATTACACGACTTATTTAACGGCGTCGCATAGAAAGCGTGAAACACGTAAAAATTGCAAGAAACAAAGGTTAACGAAACCGTTTCACTCCTTATTAAGCGAGCCATTTAATTGACAGAATAATATGGTTCGGCTTTTACTTGTCCCGTACAATACCAAAACGAAATTGTTTCAATATCCATAACGAGCAAGATTGTAAGCAGTAATTACTATTGTACATACATAGTGTTTCTATTATGCACGCCGGCGCACATTCTCCACACGAAATTTCACGTGAGCAACGTTGTTTAATCCATCGTAACAGGCCTGAATTAATTTCACTTCCTTACTGATTGGCATCTGTTAGACGAAAACGTTGCACTTCCGTTTCTTAAATAGTGTCGGGAAAAAATCGTGAACCAAAGAAAACTTATTACACCTGTTCAATCGTTTCAAGATCATTCGAAATCAATGAAACGTCTGCGATGGATTTCTTCCGTAAACATCGTTATCGATTGCTCTTCATGCTCGCAACCCGTAACGTTTGCTCTCGCACGATCTATGGCGGATCATTCGGCGATCCAGCGCGAAATGAAATTTCACGCGAGGGTGATCTTTTAACCTTTCCGTGCGTAGCATAAATTATAGTTTCCAGTCGGCCAACGAACCAATATTACATTATTATTTACACACGCCGCTGAAAGGTTTATGCAACGTTGAACGGGGATACTTGCTTTATCGAACCCGCAGGTTCGTTTGCGTTCGAGGCTACGTGAAAGTGTCGTTATTACCGATCGGTATCATCGTAAATCGTTCCCGGATACATACATACTTGTTTTCGAAAAATCAATTCGAAACAAATACATTCATCAAGTTTATTCACTCGTAGAAATATAAATTAAGCATTTCGAAGTCCGCTTATTTAAGAGTCCCGCGATTTATGATCCACCGCTTTATCTGCGAGATCGAAGCTGAAGCTGCGAAGATACCGTGAATGTTTGCTTCTAATTACTTGAATTTATTGACACGTTGGTTAACTGTGTCATGTAGTTTATGCGAATATGGATATTGTGTCGCAATGAGGAAAATCAAAAGTGAAAAGAATATTTTTCAATTTTTATCTTGATGCAGAACCAGCTGCAATTGGACAATTTTTAAATTCGATTTCTACGCAAGTCTGTAAAAAGTTGCTAACGACCCATGCTGTTGATGAAACAACAAATTGGAAGAGAAGAATATAAAATAAGTTCGTTGTACGTCGTTTTACGTACATATGTGCTTTGATACTAATGGATATGTGTTGGATGTGTACGACAGGATTCCACAAATACGTTACTACGTTTCTCATAATTTGTACACATGCAGATTGTATATGTATACAGATGTACGCTCTCAGATGGAAAGGTAGTACGCGTATGCTATCGTTAATTTCTCGTGTTCCAATTAAGATAGCGTGAAAATGTTGTACGATATATAAATATTACTCTGTTTGGACGTGTAGACTATCATTCAAAATTGTCATGCTATCTTAATCACAACGTGGGAAATTAGAGAGTGCACAGTTGTAATGTCTTAACTAGTACTGTACATGCATTACCGTATTTTCCTTTGTATTATATTTTATTAACATTTTCATTATTTAAATTCAATCTGAACGCGATTGATTTATATAAATATAAATGTAAACTAAACAGTTCATGATGATCTACTGACGTATATCTTTAATTAAACTTATTTGTTTGCTGAAATGTCTAATATTTAATGACATCTCCAAAACTAACAAGCTATAGTGGAACAATACTTTATGAAATTTTTTAACATCGGTAATATATGTTGCCTATATTAAACCGTATTTTCTTTAATATCTTAGAAACTAGACCAAGTACATACACACAAAAATTTATAAAAAATCGTGGGTTTTGTAATGAAGAGCCTTATCGAAATTTCTTTACAAAAATCGTAACACACTAATGAATCTGAATTTTGAATATGTAAATATTTCATACTCGTGAATATACTACAAGCAAACAGAGAACGATCCGTTCCGCTCGTACACATTAATCAGAAATGTCAGCCACGTATCAACTTTCAATCAAATTTTCATTACATATGACAATCAAAGAGTTAACGACTCGGCATATGTCCCATCGGGGAGGCCTGGCATCGGACGAAGAGGGGTCAGATGCCAGGTATATTCATTGAGCAACACGAGTATCGCCATCAATCTTCATTAACGCGTTGAAATTCTATGGACCGAACAACGGTAATACAACTGACAGAACGTGGAACGATACAGGACATGAAGTAAATTACGCGTGCCCGTGCGTCGATCATTATTGTACTCCTTTCGTTACTTTTTGTTTTTGATCAGACGCTATCAAGTTTCCGCTCGCGCGGTCTCAACACCGTATTTTCGTTTTGTACCTCGCTAAATCAGAGAACCAAGCATACGGGAAATCGATCATTGCCTGAGCTCGAACTTTAATACCAGAATATCCCGGAATGTAATCATAGTTGATCTGGTAGCTATCCGACATCTCAACAACGAATTCCTTAGATTCTTTTGATCTTTAGATGCGGCTGCAAATAAACTGTAATACTAATAAGTGTAGCTGATAATTAATTAGCTGTTCTGTTAACTATTTTCCACTATGACTAGTAAGGTTGCTTAGCTTGTAACTAAGAAAACTGTTTTGTTAATATGTAATACTTCATTTAAATGATTTTCATGTTACATACCTCTTACACTAAT